TAATGGCTAGAAGTATAGCCGAAAGCGCTCGGAACCATAGAACATTTGGATAGTTTCTACACACTCTGTGTCCGAAAAAGAAAGCTCTTGTGTGAACACAAGAAAAATTAAATAAAAAGCTTAACCGTAGTACCTTGTCTGTCGTCTTTAATGAAATATGCATAAATGAAGGATTGCTGCCTAAATACACTATATATATATATACTAGCTTTTTCTGAAAGTAATAGTTTATTTTCTCTTACTTCTCTCTTCTGCAACTACATTCCGATTTTTTGCTTCATTGCCACCTACAATCTTCAAAAATATAAAAGCAACGTCATCTTCTGTTTTCCTTAAACCTGTTCTTTTATTGCCCTTTCTACTTACAAAAGTCTTTTCATTCTCTTACACTCCCAGTAACCCTTTATGTCCTGGTGGCATTATCGCCTTAAGTGGGGTTAAATGTTTTTTTTAAAAAAAGAAGAAAAAAAAATGGTGGCTATTTTCCTGGTATTTTTTGTAAAATATTCAGAGCAACTTAAAATATTGCCAGTGTCAAGTCCTTTCTGTTGACCTCCTTCATAAAATTTCCATGCGTACCCCTGTGAAATACTGATCGGATTCGACGTTATTAATCAGATAAAAACGCTGTCTGCGGCGTGATTTCACTACAAGTCATAAACACATATCCTCTACGTCTTCACTTCCGTACACCCACTCGTGTGAACATTTTATTTCTTCATCAGCAGATCTTTTCATCTACACGCATAAACAGGCTCTCATTTAATCTCCCCCCACCCAGCAAATGAAACAGGGACGCCAACGCACTTTGTAGATCAGCACATTGATCTTACACAAAACCTAGGAATAGGTCTGTAATTACTGCATAAATGAAAGACCTCATGCATTACAACCACATACCTTTCTCTCTTCTAAGTCTCTCTCGTATGGTTGTATACGGATGCACCCCCGGCAACTCAAACTAGCTTAATGGGGATAATTATCATTAAGATTTCGTCACAAAAGCAAGTCGGTTCTTGCTAATTTCTTTTTCGCAGAACCCCCTCTAGGAATGGCAATGGATATTGGAAACAAAGTTATCGTCTTTAAAATCAGTTGATGCTTTCTCAGCCTTTCTTAACGAACTGAGCTGAATAAGCAAGAAATATCTACCAAGATAAGTAAAATTGTAATTACTGATCAGAAAAGTTTATATATATATATATATATATATATATATATATATATATATATATATATATATATATATATGAGGTGTATTTCGACAGCAATAATTCTCTCAAACATGTTTGGTTAAATAACATTGACAAGTTCTCTCGATCAATTTTTTATTCAATTTTTCAAATTTCCGAATTAGTTACTTTGTGTTATCGGTAAATCTGCCAAAGTTCATATTTATTTTTTTATCGAGTACTCTTGAATTCTGTTACATTTGTTTTCAAGGATAGTTCTGTGTATATTTACGGAACTGATTTTAATTCCGAGGTTTTAACGCTTGATGGAGCCAATTTCAAACTGACGTCAAACTGATTTTTTTTTTTTTAATTCACGTCAGTTTTCGGAGAGATATACATTATTTACTGTTGGCAACGTCCTTTTTTATAACAACAGTCTTCAGAATTTCTAGTCTGTCTTTGCACTTTGTCCTATATATATATATATATATATATATATATATATTACAATGAATCATTCATACAAAAAGTAAATTAATGAAGTTAATGCGATAAAATGGAGAATTCACTTCGCTAACTAAATTTTTAAAAAATCATTAACCCACTAACCACTTGAGGAATATTATGATCCTATTTTTTAAAAATTATAAACTGTATTAGGTCTTCCTTAAATATTCAAGTATTTTCGACAGGTTCTCCGGTCATCATCAGGCATGGAAACTATTTTCTTTTTGGGAAAATTCAGGTAGCATCCGAGATGAAAAAAAATGATAAATATATATATATATATATATATATATATATATATATATATATATATATATATATATATATATATGAGGCATTGGGTAGAAGTAGTACCTTTGTTGCTCATCTGTTGTTATTTTTTTTTTAGGGTGACGGGCAGCACTGGTTTTCACGCATCCTCTCTGTCTTACCCCCCCATATATATATATATATATATATATATATATAATGCCCTGGGTATGACGATAAACTACATCAATCAGCAAGTCTTGTGATTGGAAACTTAGAGGATTTGAGGAGCGTGGAACCACCTTTTAATTGCTGTTGTTCCCAAGTTCCCCCTGACCCGGAGTGGTAGCACCTGTTAGGGTCACAGCTATGGGCAAATAGTGCCTACCAGGGCTGACCAGGCACTTTAGTGTTATAGAACACGACTGGTCTAGGAGATGGAAAACTCTTACACGAAAAGCCTGACGTCTGTTGTCTGCTTCGCCTTGTGGCATTTATTTGCACTGACTGAGTGTATCAATAGTTCCCGAAACAAGCCCTCACCACATAAATCAAATCCCTTGTGTGGGTTTTTCTGGCGGTTTGCTCTGATTCTTTCATTCTTATCCACACAGTTCACATGCAAGGTCCGCTGGCGAGAGAGTGGAGGCGACAGGGTCAGGTAAAGGATATTACTGGAAGGCTCTAGCTGGAGGTCTACACAGTGGCAGACCGATGGGTGATGGCCGTTCTTTCACAAACCAATGAGCAATTGTGATGTCCATGTCCTCCATTAGTGACAAAGCAGCCCTATTTAGGGTCCGCACTTCTTTTCCTATTATTGGGAGGGGGCGATAAAAAGAGCCCTAAACATTGCTTGCTCACACAGAGATTGGCAGCCCGCTGAAGGTGCATGCTTATCCAATAACGCAGTCTAAACAGCAAGAAAGAACAAAAGAAATATAAGAAGAATTTTCATTTTGGATCCTGGAATGTTTGAACTCTCCGGGACAATGATTCTGCACCAGAGCGAAAAACAGCTCTTGTGTCTCTCGAGTTGTAGAAGTATAACATCGACATAGCAGCCATTAGTGAAACACGTCTGGCTGGCAATTCTCAGCATAGGGAAGAAAAAAGTAGATACGTGATTTTATGGGCTGGTAAAACTGAGAAAGAGCCACGCCAATCTGGTGTTGGCTTCGCCATCAAGTCAGGCGTTGCTAGCTCACCGCCTTCCTTACTTAAAGGCGTTTGAGATCGTATAAGGACATTAACCTTGAATCTGGAGTGCAACACCCGTGTGACGATGGTTAGCTGCTACGCTTCAACCTTAGGTAGTTCAGAGTAAGATGATTTTTACAACATCCTTCGAGATGTCATCTCCAAAGTCCTACATAAGGATAAATTAATCTTTACAGGTGACTTCAATGTTTGTGTTGGCAATGGTTATAATTATTGGAATAGCGTTTTAGGTCACCATGGTATTTGTCGTATGAATTCGAATGGATTCTCGCTATCTGCAAGGAATTTGACCCTAGTATTACTAATACATTCTACCAGCAACCCAGCTGTCGTAAGACTACGTGATGCATCCTCGTTCGATAGACTGGCATCTGATCGCCTACGTCATCACCAAAAGACGGGACAAAAAAGATTTTAAGATAACGCGTTCATTCCACACATACTATCTGTCAGATTACGCTCAACTTCGGAGTAAGGCTACACTGCATCTACAAAAGTGAAGAATTATAAAATCTACAGAGCCCAAGCGGATTAACGTAGTGCCTCTTAAATCGACTGAAACGAAAATTGAACTCTGCTGCACTTGATTCTGTAAACATTACCAATGATATCGAATCATCTTGTAAGGCCCTGCAGGATGCAATACATTCTGCATCCTTGGATATTCTCGGCCTACCACATCGTAAACATCAAGACTGGTTTGATGACAATAATACAGAGTTTCAGCAGCTTATAGATCAATTGCATTCTTCTCATAAAGCATGGGTTGAGGACAAGAACTCGTCCGCTAAGAAGACCGCTTACAAGAAGTGCGAAAATCAGGTTCAACGAACTCTCAGAGCCATGAAAGAGCGTTGGTGGTCTGATAAGGCCACTGAACTCCAAGAAGCTTCAGATAGAAAGGATGTAAAGGCTTTCTATGTTGGCCTCAAGAGCGTTTTCGGTCCTCTGAAAAGTGGTGTTGCTCTAATCTCCACAGCAGATGGTGAAACTCTCTTGACTGATGTCAGACATTTTGGATCACTGGAAAGAGCATTTCGAAACTGTGTTAAACACCACTTTGGTTACTGATAAAGAAGCCATCACATCAATTATGCAAAACTCAGAAATTCCAGAGTTGTCATTTGAACCTACCTATCAAGAGGTAAGTGACTCCATCGAGCAAATCTCATGTGGAAAATCATCTACTCCTAAGGATCCTATTCCACCTGAAGTGTATAAGCATGGTGGCCAAAAGTTGGTAGAAAAGTTACATCTCCTTTTCGTGGAGATATGGAAGGTAGGCTGTGTCCCCTGGATTATAAAAACGCCTCTATCAAACACCTCTACAAAAACAAGGGGTTCAGGTGATAATCATCGGGGGATATCACTCCTTTCAATTGCAGGCAAAATCCTAGCAAGACTGATTCTAAACAGAATCATTATACACCTTGTTGACGATATCTATCTTGAATCGCAGTGTAAAAATAAATGTCTCTTTTCGCACGTAGAATAACTAAGACAGACAACACTGTAAAATGTTAGGGATCACTTGTGCACTGTATTGATATTATAAAGAATACCACATTTCTAAAATGACAAAAAGAGTTAATAAGTTTCGCTTTTGACAAATGTCATGCCTTGGGTAAATTTCAAAGAATGCTGATCTTCAAATTGACTTTCCCCATATTTTTTGCGAGCGGATCAGTCTACTTAATTAATGCCCTATATTTCTTCTGACATGCTGAAGAAATCGGTTGATCAAAGAAATCGCTATCAAAATTAATTCTGCACTCTTTTATGTTCTGTTATATTTCCAACTTTTTCTTTTTTTTTCAGGTTGGAACTAGTTCTTGGTTGTTTGGCGTGATGTCGATTGTGGCTTTCTTAAGTGACGTCACCAGTTTGTTTAGATACGAGACCGAAGAAATTCAAAATCTCATTGAAGAAGAAGCTGGACATTTCTTTCCAGGTAGAAGAATGAACGATATCTTCTTTAGAAAAACACACGCATGCACACACACACATACACACAGACAAAAACAAACAAAATTATGTTTTGATTTACTTGATTTTTTTACGGCTTATCAAACATTTGTGGGTAATATAAAGCTTAAATATATTTTGAATATTAGAATAATTCATTTTTATTTTCGAGTGAATATTGGATTAGAAATTTTTTGAGAAAACAATGACTTTTGATATATATATATATATATATATATATATATATATATATAAGGATGATCTCGGAGGAGATAGAAGTACTTTTGTTAACAAAAAATACGGAGACTTCCCTGATGGATTTCAACTTAACATCAAGAAGATAATTATAGAACTATAGAAAGGATTATTATAAAAATAATTAGAAATAATATTTCTATATTATTTAATGAAACATGCTTGAATGAAGATATACTGACTTTATATATATATATATATATTTTTTTTTTTCAGCTTCAGATTCATTTCAGCTTTTGGAAGTAAAGTCTGATGATCCAGAACCCTGTTAAAGGGGTTATGGTGAAATAACATTTACATGGAATCTTAACGTGGTCTGTCTTTTATTCAAACATATCTGCTCTGAATTTTACATTGAGCTCTCAGGATATCATCCTCCTCAGGTCTACCCATACGGATTACCTAAATTTGCATAAACTATATATATATATATATATATATATATATATATATATATATATATATTATAGCATATTTTCACTCTGAATTTCTGGGATGAGGATTGATTGATTGTTCGATTTTTATGGCTTATCAACTCTTTCTACGTTTGCTCTAAGTAATATTGCATAACGTGAGTAATAACAATTTTTTTCAATATATTGTATTGCATTGCAAATACAATTTAGAATATGTGTAATTAATAATAAGATTGATAATATTGTTACCTCGTCATTTTTTATCACGGACTGCTTTTAAAAAGAATACAACGAATTAATGGCTGATCTAGTACTATATATAATCCAGAATAAATTGAAATTTGAAATGCGATTTCTTACTGTTACGTTGTTATTTGTGTCAGAGAATTTAGATGATCATAAACTGTAGATGGAAGAGTGATGTTATATGTTTGGTTTATTAATGATAAATTAAGACCAGAATATTTGATGTGTGATATTTTTTTAATACGTTTTTTTTTTCAGAGTCTGTCTATATTTCTGAGATGAGGTATTATGTACAGTATTTACATTAGTCGGACTATTGTCCTCATCTTTGTCGCCATATTTGTCACAACGTTTCGGCCGTTGTACGTCCGGCCTTCTTCAGGTGGTTGGAATTTCGAACGGAACCCTTTATTTCGATCACTGGGGTAGACTGTTCTAATTCCACGTGCCATGTTTGTCCTCAAGGACACATGGCACAGTGGATAAAGGCGTTGGTTAGATCCAGTGACAGACCCAAAGAAGGTGAGTTCAATTCCTGGTTAAGGCAGTGGAGAACTTTCAGAGGGAAAATTAGCAGGAGATAATTGATAACTGACATCCATCAAACATGGCACTTGGAACTAGAACAGTCTACCCCAGTGATCGAAATAAAGGGTTCAGTTCGAAATTCCAACCACCTGAAGAAGTCCGGAGCGTACAACGGCCGAAACGTTGTGACAAATATGGCGACAAAGATGAGGACAATAGTCCGAATAATGTAAATACTGTACTTTTTTTTTAATCATTTTTCCATTTATTTTAAAATCTTTCTAGGAAAAAACAATTTGGATACCATGTTGCAAAAAGAAAGTACTGTACGTGATTGGCTACGCAGAGTAAATCGGGCCAGTCGATGGTATAATGAAAAGTTATCACAAGCCACGTGGAACTACGAAACGAATATAACCAAGACAAGTAGTGAACAGGTAAAATGTACTCTGCTTATCTCGTAAGACTTATTCCCTCTTTGAACATTCACAAGTAATGATGGATGTCTATTCTCTTAAGAAGGCTCCTTGTCTTGAACGTCAATTGCAGCGTTTCTCATCCGTTGTGACCGGGCGCATTAGTGCACCTAATCAGGTGCATACTAACAGAAGAATATTTTCTTAATTATTTTTATATTTAAAATATGTTTATTCTTTAAAAAAAAAACTAGGAACACCAAGCACATATACTTGTCTAAGTCAAATCTTTGTCATTTGTATTTTAAACTGAATGCTAAATTCTTTAATCTTTCAGAAGGAATGCATAGTCTTGAATTAAAAACAGAACAAGTGAATAAACTTATACCAAAGCCTTATTGCACTTTACTCTAACTACTTGTCTTCTGACGTATTGTACAGGGTGCTTTTTTTATACCTCTTAGATATTAAGGGGAGGCAACTGATGATTTATCACTACAAATCCTTTTCTCATTGCCTTCTTCAAATTTCAATCAGTCATTATCGGCCCCTCTAAAAAACAACAGATTCTTCATAAATACCTTTAAATGAAAACTGTACCGCTAATCTTCGCATATTAGGCCTAAAATTCATCACATATAAGGCCTAACATTAAAAAATTGCCAAAGACCATCAAACAATGAAATGTCTTCAAAACAACAGCTTATTTCAGGAGACATCTTTATTATTTATTATTTTCTTATTTTCAAATGTCATGACTAATTTGTCCTTATTAAAATTTAAAGTTCGCCCCAGAGTATTAGTTATTCCACAAGTCCACCTTGAAGTAAAATGGTTGGGAAACATTGATCTATTTGGACTTAAGCTCACTTCGGACCTTAAGTGGGACTCATATATCTGATCTATTGCTAAATATACTGTAAAAAAAAAGTTGATTCATTTTACCGTTCCAGTAAGTATCTGACTTCCCCTACTATACTCTGTTTTTTACAAGAGACAGATCAAAGCAAAAAATGGAGTATTACCGCCGTATCTAGGGTAGAGCTTCCCAGTCTTCGCTTGTCTTGATCTTCAAAAGCGTCTACACGATGTTGTGGGTGATTAAGTAATTTCCACCTTACAACCCCTTTACGACAGAAGAAAACCTTGTGAGACTCTCGTTACTTCCATAGAATCTGTTATAACAACCCACGTTCCTTGGGCACACTACCCTGACCTTTTAAAACTGAGACCTACCGTGTCACATACACAAGGTGGGGGAGGGAATAATTTCCATCCTCTTCATATTCCTATAGTAAGAAGTAAGCTTTCTTCCCAAGAACTTCTGCTTTGTGAAACAGATTTCTCGGCAGGATGTTTTCCCAATAACTACAATCTTTACCTCTTCAAGGGTTATCCGTTATCTTTCCTACATAGATCCATGAAATTCACTTCTTGTCATTTCTTACACTTATAAAACACCACACTGCAATAATCCACATTGAGTGGCTCTTTGGCTTTGTATTAAATGGTAGTATAAAAAAATTCTCCACCCGACTTTACTTTCTTTAACAGAGATTGCCTAATAGTGATATTGTTATAGTGATATAATTTACCTAAAATCGTGATTATACTAAGCCTTATGCCTCAGTTATAGTGATTTTCCAAGCATAGCTCAGATGTGGCACAAGGCCGAAATTAGGGGGAACCCAGTGAGAATCGAACTCACTACTCAGCCGTAATTGTTCAAAACAAGCTTGCTAACCATTACACCACCTCGAGGTGCCCTTATCGCCTCAGTTATAGTAAGATTTCCTTGTAGATAAAAGTTAAAAAGGTATTAAATTTTACAACACCGAATACTATATAATGATTACGTTGTGTCAGACAAAATTTTATCTACTGCACACAAAATTTGTTGGAATCGAAAAGTATTGTTTTTTTTTTCATAATTTTAGAAGTGTCGTTCCCTGTATGATATAAATGCAGCCTGAAATCGATCCATAATTCATCAAGAGTTTTCTGTACTTTACTATTATTTAAAATTGTCGAGTATGAAACTATTTACGACATTTTTTTAATCCCGTGACCGTGTTAGGGGCACTACATGTACTGCAACCACAGTAGAAGAGGTGTTTCCTGGCAAGGTAGCCTGATGGAGCCCAACTCTCTCCAGGGAGAGAGATCAAGGCATCAGAAGATGTCGATTGAAATAACATTTGAAATTTTAATATTTTAAGATTATAGCTATCAGAGAAGCAAGTAAGAGGAAGGGAATTTCACTGTCGGGAAGTGCGAGAGAAGAAACTGTTGGAGTAGAAGAGGCGGTTACATTTAACTGTTTCGACAGTGAAAAGGTGGGACCGAGATGCCAACCTAGTAGCACGCTTAAATTCATGCAGTTGGGGTACAAGTGAAAGTAGCGCGTCAGAGCAGTTGCCATGAAAATATTTGGAGAAAAGACAGAGGGAATTTACATCAAATCTATAAGAAAGTGACTGTAGTGACCACATTTCATATCAGATAAAATATTGAAAATGGTGGCGTATAGAAAAACTCAGTTCGATATAATCACCGGGGAATGTTACCTGTTAATACTGGTGTTAAAACAAAATGTTTATGAATAGAAATAAATAATATTCATGAGAGGATTGGCGTACTGAAGAGAGTTGTACGTTTCTCTTTGTGATCTTTCTCCAGGGAAGTCTACCAGTTAATACTGGTGGGAAAACTCAGTGGGTATAGATAATCACAGTATCGAAATAATAAATATAAAGATGGAGAATCGGATGAAGGCGAAAAACGTGCTTGCAAATGAGCAATCTGAGCGTAGACAGTAGCAGAAGCCAATGGGTGCTTTTTATAGTGACCTTTAAATCTATATCTAGTTCATATCCTTCATCTATCGCACAAATGCTCTTAGGAAAGGTATGAATCCATTTTTCACACTTACTATGGGCTAAACAGTAGAAAAAAGCCTGAACCTTTGAGTCTGGAACTGTAGCTATTCTCAGAGAAAGAACACTTTGAATTCAAAACCTTCGAAAAGCGTTAGCAAATCAATCATCTATTTCACCCAGGAATCAAGGGTCTGTGATATAATCAATCCTGACCTAGCATCTCGACATCAGTCACTTTCTCGCCGACGTGACATGGCTTTCCTCTGTCTTTTCTCCAAATATTTTCATGACATCTGTTCTGGTGAGCTTTTTTTCTTAGTACCTAGACTCCATGAATTTAAGTCTGCTACTAAATTGGCAACTAGATCTCACCGTTTTACTATTGAACTTGCTAGATGCAACCGACACTTTTATTCTAAGAGTTTCTTATCTCGCACTTCTCACCTGTGGAATTCTCTTCCGATTTCTTGCTTCCCAGAAACCTACAATCTTCAAAAATTTAAATACAACGTCAATCGCCATCTTCTGTCTTTCTGGACCCTGTTTCTTTATTGCCCTTTCCTCACTAAGTATTTTCACTCTCTTTCACTCCCTGTAACCACTGCGTCCTAGCGACAATACATAAATAATTAGAAAGAAAGGAATCTGTGGATAACAAAAATCTGATCGTTTACGTAATGAAGTGACATGACATTTAAAACAAAATCTAGATTAAGCTAAGATTATTAGATTTTAATTAAGAATCTAAAAAAATCTATTTGTTTTCTTTCGTTATTTAATAGTTAAAACGATTTTTTTTTCATCTGTTTTCTTTCTTTTTCAATAGCTGGCCAACTTGTCTGAGTGGTTTGATCAGTGGACATTGCGTCGTGCAGAGGAAGCCAGACAGTATTTAAAAGACCAATATCGTTTCAAACAGGACACATTCAGGCAGCTCAAATTTAGGGCCATGTCTGCAACTCCGGATAATGCAGGTATATTGAAGTAAGTTTTTAAAAATAAGTCTTTAATATGTTACATCATTTCTTTTGATATGTCACCAGTTTTTTTTCTATTTTATCACCTTTTTGATCAAAAGTTGTAATAATATTTTAATTTCATTGGCTATTTCTCTTTAAAACAAAAGTAGACACATTACTACTACATTAGCGCGTGGCATATAAAAGCACCCAAACAGTTTTCTACCATTTATCGGTCACCGGCAGTCAAATACGACACAGCTTCTCTCATAGCTTCACCAGCTAAATTCAGTCAGGAGCCGTTTATCGCAAATCAAATACCTTGCGCACCCGTGACATATCGCATTATTTCAAATCTGATGGCTATGGTATTATCTTATATCAGCGCAGAAAAACTGACGGCAGTCTTATATGCAGAAGAAAATGAGAACTAGGCAGTTGGTAGTCACTTTGAATTTTCTAAATGCAATGTTCGATTTTGTCGCAGAAAACAAGCCCGAAGCCTGACGGATTGAAATCAGAAGAATTTTCAAAGTTGAAAGAAGAACTGATCGAGAAGAATGCAGAATATTCGACACTGTCAATAGAAACTACAAAGATAGGGTCAGCAGCAAGCCGAATACGTTTATGGAACCAAGTTCTAGACTCTTGATTGTACCACTGGACGGTAGCCTAGTGATGACATAGTAATTGTGAACACAATCCCTGGGTCGGGTAGTGCTAACATAAACTCATAGAATAAGACGAGAAATCCCTTAATATGACGAAGATTAAATAAACTTCGAAATTTAATGAATGTTACCTGGATCGATAGCCAGCTGGAAGGTTGTGATAACAACAACAGCGATGAGGACAATAGACCGAATGTAAATGATGCAAATAAGTGTAGATAGGTTCGCCTATCATTCGGTTCACACACTTCCCAATCTTTTGAACAGGAGTAGAGGTTTATCCTTTGTTTCCTGCTTAGGGTGGGTTTCTGGTTCCTTCTAAAGTCTACTTAAGCACTATACTTCTAACGTCTCCAACTGATCTCTGAAATGTTATTCACTAATTAAATCTTCAAGAGGCCCCGAGGGTGACCTCATCTTCGCTACAAGGATGTCTACAAAAGGGACATGAGGGCGATGGTCATGGGCACCGAGAGGTGGGGAGACGTCGCCAGCCTGGGGCGGGAGACGAGATTTACACCGAGGTCTAGAAGAAGAATCGGAGGCTTAACCCCGAGAAGTGTGCTTGAAGGAAAGAAAACAAAACGGCGACATCTGAAGAGAGCGTCTTCACATGCATTCGTTGCAATCGAGATTGTCACACCCGTGTCAGCCTGTACAGTCAAAATAGATGCCGCGCTTCCACCCGCAGCTAAAGTATAACTTTTAATGCGCAGATCCATGGTCTCTCGATGCTGACGGATGCCACAAAATAATTAAAACTTTGCCATTTCAAATCTAGAGCTAGCTATTATCTTTTATGCATAGACTCATAACTTTTCTTACACTAGTACATTACCAAACAGTAACCCTCTACCTTTAGTAGCTCTTGGGCCTTGTACCGAGTGAAGCGTAGAAAAAAAATGGAAAGGATAGTTAATTGCTTCATATATGCACCGTTAACTTTTAATCTTAAAAATATGGAGAAAAAAATCCGAATAATTACTGTACATCAGTTAAATGTGATTATGAATTCTAAAAAGAAAAAATCATCATTTTATCTTTCCGTTTTTAAACGATAATTTTGTGGACATGGTTCGTGTTTCTTTAGCTAATTCTTTTTTGTTTTTCAATTACAGACAAATATACAGTCAGCGTGAACATATGGCTACAGCCTATGCCAGCGCAAAGGTCTGCAGAATTACGAAGTGCATGTCGCTAGAACCGGAATTAATAAAAATCATGGCGGAAAGCAGAGACCCGGATGAACTACTCTGGGCATGGCACGGCTGGAGAAATGCTGCTGGACGTCCCGTTCGGAACAATTTCAAAACTTACATGGAACTGTTGAATGTTGGAGCAAAACAGAATGGTATTTTTTTTTATCTTTTAAGAACGACAAAACCTTTTCATTTCTTTCCTTTTGCTCACTGTACGGTAATTGTATTTTTTAAAATCATTTCGCCCTAAGCAAGGCAATAAAGCTACTAAGGCACAAGTGGTCAGTGAGTGTTAGAGAATATGATAAAAAACATTATGAAGGAGAGAGAACAATAAGGGGAGTGCAATTAAGAAGACAGAAAATAGCGATTGAAATTGAATTTAAATTTTTGAAGCTCAAAGTTGACTGAAAAGCAAGAAGTCGGAAGAGAGTTCCACAAGCGAGAAATCCAGTGCTTTCTGTATCTTGTTGAAGATTCTTCCAGACTCGATGAATTGTGAATTACTATATATATATATATATATATATATATATATATATATATATAACTGTTAAATAAGTGATATAAACAATATTTACTACGTTAATAAATAAATAAATAAATAAAATAAGAAGCAAAAAAAAAAAAACGAGCAATATAACCTGACCCAAATAAATAAACAAACGACTCCCGGTAAAATAACCGCTATAATAGACTACCCATAATGCACCACTAACCCGTATATATATATATAAATAGCCGAGAAAAATAACAGCATATGTGGCCTGACGATTGCATATAGCATGAAACAGACTGTCGCCTCTAAGTGTTGACTTCTATGTTCACTTTTATATTTATATATATATATATCTATATATATATCTATAGTAATTCATCGAGTCTGGAAGGATCTCTCTCTCTCTCTCTCTCTCTCTCTCTATATATATATATATATATATATATATATATATATATAAGTTATGAAAAACTTTTTAATCCGTATGGGTAGTCCCAATGAGGATGAAATCCTGAGAGCTCAATGTAAATTCAGAGCTAATAATTTAAAGAAAAACAGACCACTTTAAAGCTCCATTGTAATAGTTTATTTCACCAGAGACCTTTTAAAGGATGCTGAATCATCAGATATCACTTCACACACATACCCACACACACAAACACACACACACACACACACACACACACACACACACACACACATATATATATATATATATATATATATATATATATATATATATAGTCTAAAACATAAAAACAGCCAATAATCTACCTGTGGACTCAAGTATAAAAACGGACTCCGTTTACCTATGGGCTCAAGTATAAACGCGGCCTCTATTTACCAATGGGCTCAAGTATAAACACGGCCTACATATACCTATAATATGAAGTGTCGAGTTTGAACATAGATCACCAGGCGATCCTATTGTTGAATTTAGTAGATCACGTGACCATAGAGGAAACGCATATATATAGGAAGTAGTTGACGACTAACGATCGCCATTTTTAGTCTTTACTCTATTACTACTCGGATCTGCGTTTCTAGTCCATCCTCTATTACTATACGGACCGTTATTCTCTACTCTATTCGCTATACTATTTGTCTATTCGGATCACCCTACGGATTACTATTCGAGCTAGTATTATCAAGCAAGTACTATTAGTGCGAGTGTTACTCGAAGGCGTCTGAAAACGGCATTGTTCAACAGCATACTATAGTTGTATCGGCAGCTACAAAGCCTCTACTAAAACGAGCCTAACGTCAGTGACAACGAGTATTCGTTGACATCAAAAAAGTGGCAAAAAGTGTTCGTTGATATTATAAAATCTACCAATAAATTTAAGTATAAACACAACTTATCTACCTATGGACTGTTTGATTGACTGATTTGCTTTTTTACGGTTTATCCACTTCTTGTCGGCTATTTAAAGGTAGAAAATAATTTTAGATTGTAAAAATTTTTATGAGATAATAATGCATTACTGATATAAGTCCTGGCGGGAGATTCGAATTGGAACTCGGCACTCTGATTTCCAATTCTGAGCCGTTACCCGTTATACCACCCGCACATCCAAGCTTACAGCACCTGGTATTCCCTGTCTACTCATGAAATAGATATAAATATGTCCAATATCAAGTATAAAGTCGAGCTCTGTCTATCTATAGACTCAAGCGTAGACAAATATCAAGATAGAGACTCGCCGAAACCTTGAAATAGATTTATTTCTTATCTATTGTCATTTGGACCTCGAGGCGGTGTAGTGGTTTCTATCTATGTCTCGTTAGAACAATATCAAGATATAGTAGTGAGTTCGGTCCTCACTGGGTGCCCAATATTTGGCCTTATCAACAAACCAGCTACGAAACAAAAATCACGATTTGATTTTCGTGTTTTAAAATGCACAAAAATTTCCAGTACGAAAATAATTTCCTAGCGGTAGCGTATTGCCAACCTCTCACATAATTTGTTATTTGGAAGTATGGCTTTTATTTAGAAGCGTTAAAAGCAAATTCGCTCTCGATTTTTCCGCTAGCAGCGTTCTTTTATTTTATTTTTTCCCCCATATAATCTGAACGGTAAAAGCGGAAATGAATTGCTCTGCCTTATAGGCTTATTAAAAATGTCTTTGTTATACTCGGCCCACGCGCTGTTAGAAAATGGGCTTCCAGATTAATGCTATTACCGATAAAGCTATTGAGCGTTCGACATGTATTTCTCGAGCTGGACAGTTGCTTTGTCCAATTCATTTGGTGACCTAAGCAGCATCTGTTTTTTTTTTTTTTGTTTGTTTTTTTTAGTCAAAGATGTACGTTTAATTGGTGATCCATGGAATATTAGTGATATTAAAAATGCTTTAGAATTAAGAAAAAATATTCTTAGTCATTCGTGAGTAAAATTCAGCAATTCAGGACTCTCGCACTTTTGTCTACATAAGAAAATCGTACGAATTAATAAGGAATTGACTTACAAGTTGAACGCAAAGTGACATTGTTTTAAAATTAAGATTATCTTAGTAAATAAATATATGCTGAAAACTGAGTGACCTGCCAAATCTGAACAATGCTTGCAAAAAAAAAAAATACAAACAGCAATTAGTGTGGCCATATGGCAAAACTGAACTTACTTAAAAAAAAGAAAAATACAAATTAATATAGCCTTCTGTCACACATGGCGATTTTCTAAGCGTAGCTAAGATGAGGCACATGGCGAAAAATATGGGGCACCCACTGAGGATCTGACAGACTACTCAGTCGTAATTGTCCTAGCAAAACAAGTTGTCTAACAATTACATCAAATTGAAGGGCCCAAAGTAATGTTCTAAGCGTAGCTTAGATGTGCCACACGGCACAAAAGTATCGGGAATACAGTAAGGATCAAACTATTCAGTCGTAATTGTCCTAGCGAGACAAATTTGTTAACCCTTACACCACGTCGAAGGGCCCAAAGTAATTTTCTAAATGTAGCTTAGATATGGCACACGGCCCAAATTATTGGGCACCTAGTGAGTATCGAACTCACTACTCAGTCGTAATTGTCCTATCGAGACAAGTTTGTTAACCATTGCACCACGTCGAAGTGCCCACTCTATCGCACATGAGCTGTATTTAGTTAGAAACGACTGTTGACATTGATGGGGTTTTATGTGAAAAATTAAGATTTGCTTTGTTAACGCATATAGGTTTAATGGTTTATAAACTGGACGTGCTTTTACGCTGAATTTCTGGGATGAGCAGTTATCATTATCTAAATTATTTACACGCGGACTGTTGTCCTCATTTTTGTTATGATTATCACAACCCTTCGGCCGTCATCAGTCTGTCATTAGTGGTAACATTCATGGAAGTTCGAAATGAACCCTAGAGGACAGTAAGTGCAACACTGAGATCCGTAAACGTATTGGGATGGCCAAGGACACATTCCAAAAGCTGGGCAGAGTATTGTGAGACACGAGGATTTCTTTGGTAGCAAAAAAAAAGAATACTGAGCTGTCCTTCTTTAAGGCAGCGAATGTTGGACGATTTCCTCAAAGACGGAGATGTGGTTCTACAGAAGGATTCTAAGGATATCATGGACCGAGCATGTGAGCAACAATGAGGTCTTAGAGATGTTGCAAACAAGGAAGAGGCTTATGTTTAATATCAGGAAGAGGCAGCTGAAGTTTCTGGGACACGTAATGAGGAAGGAGGGTCTGAAGAATCTGATACTCACGGATCGAATAGAAGGAAAGAGAGACAACGAAAAACAACGCATGACATACCTAGCGGACTTAAGCAAGTGGATGACAGAACATTGTCCAGGGGAGCTAGCAGAGGGAAGGAACTTGTTGAGAGCTGCAGGGAATAGAAGGAGGTGGAGAGCCACGATCGCCTATGTTTCTTAAAGGACATGGCACATAAAAAGAAAGAAAGGGTTCGATTATTCACGTTCCCTTGACCATCACTCGGATTATCACGCCTAGTTTTTATTTAGTAAAGCTCAGTTTTGTTGAGCCCTGTTTCCCACGTGAAGATAGCCGAGTGTTCGTTCGTGAATTTGGTGACATTTTGAGTTCAATCTTTGTGCCGAGCAGTGTGTACTTGAAAACTTAAATAACCTTGTCAAATCAAGACTTTCATATGCCATGTATAGTACCCGACACGAACCCCAACTGTTAGCTTTATTGGAGAACAATGTTTAAAACTGGCTTCGAGCAAGTACGTAGGTATTAACTAGGATCATCCTTCTTTGAATCTTCAAGACTGGCGCTCCATAAACTAACACAAAAAATGGTTTCATATAACAGAAAGCACATCATTTGAGGATTTACAGCAGCAACTAAAAAAGAATTTCAAGTGAAACTCAGAGAAAATAATGACATTATATGGTTGTTCATTTTCCACATTACTTCAAACAACTACCCAAAGATTTTATCGATATCTGGGGAGGGGGGTGAAGAAATATTCATTCCTTTCTCAAAGGCCTTATTCTGATGTGAAGGCAACAGCCTCAACACGTAACAAGTAAAAACCTAAAGAGCCAGACTTACCTACCTAGATTTAATCTACGCGGATCGTCAGGGCGGACTAGCTAAAGAGATGCTATAAGAACAGAAAATATATAGCTAACAACACGAAAGCATGAGTTATTTTACTTTACTCGTGTCGGAGGGTTTTTTCTTTGAACTCTGAACTTAGATTCTAGACGATTATTTTCGCCGGAAGTACATGTTCTTACTTCTTACTTTTTTACCCTTTTTTTTTCCATGGTTTATTACTTTGTTCATTCACAAGCTAAAACACCTAAGGTTTTGCCGGACAAGTATAGCTGCTTACATTTGTAATTTTTTATTATATATATATATATATATATATATATATATATATATATATATATATATATATATATTATAATTTATCCATGCACGCATGAACTCTCCCAGTTATAAATAGAAAACAGGTACTGCTTTTTTTAGAGAGAGAGAGTGAGTGAGAGTGTGTGTGTGTGTGTGTGTGTGAGTGAGTGAGTGAGTGTGTGTGTTTCCAGCAGTCAGCTCTGACAGACGGACCGAACGTGCTTGCTGTAACAGTCTCCTGTGTTTGTATTACTGTTTCTGTTAATATATTTGTTTAACTCAATTCCTCTCTTTGTGTCTTTATCTCTTGCCCTAACAAGGCCACAACAATATATATATATATATATATATATATATATATATATATATATATATATATATACCTAGTATAGACAAACCTACAGAGTTTCACCTAAACGGATCGTCAGGGAAAGTTTGGCCAAACTTTCCCTTCCATGGCGGCTCACTAAATGTATCAATCTACGGTTGTATTGAGCTCTTTTGTTAGTTAGTTGTTACTCGTCGGGGTTTTTTCTTTGGGCTTCAGACCTGCATTCAGAAGTCCATGTTTGTAGCTCTTTTTTTTTAAAACCTTTTTTCCCTCGAGATTGATTTGATTAGCAAATCAAAAATTCGAGGAGTTTTTCGAAACGAGTCTAGTTATCTATATTTATATTTATATGTATATATATATATATATATATATATATATATATATATATATATATATATATATGTCTGGCCACTCGTATTCGAGCATGCCATCTACCAAGGCGGCTAGGCAATTCCTGTTGCAGACGTCTACTCAGGTTCATTCGTGCTTGTTGAACATCCACAGACCTCACCTGTGGTTTATATTGCAGCTATGCTGAACGGACCTTAGTTACAGGTTCTGGGATAGACCACTTTATCTGGCGTGATCAACAGTCTTTACAAGGTCAGCACGCTCATACCTTCGGTCACGATGACTTGTAACTTCGTGCTCGCACCACCGTTGATGGCTTCAAAAAAGGACCGTCTACCCAATTTCACTCACAAGTCACCTTCCTGACAAATCGACTATGGTGATATGGATATATACAGAAGGTACTCGGGTTACGTCGGACACAACGTACGACGTTTCGTGGTGATCTTCCATAATATAATACGCCGTCACGCGGCGCTGTATGAGGAAGACGGCTTTGTTTCTTCGCCGGCTGTACGCCATATTGTATTGTGCTACATTTACTATCTTTTGTTTGTGTCGTCTTTTTTTAAAAAAAAAAACTTTTTACCCTTCATTATGCTCCCAAGCGTAAGGCAGACTCGTGAGTGCATATGTAGGGGATTTCCGACCTATGTTGAAAATCAGGTTACGTCGCGCCGTAGACACAGATGTCTGACGTAAGTCGAGACCCCCCATATATGCATGATGGCCACAACATTTTCAAGACGCCTTAGACTTCATTTTTTGGATACAAGTTCTACTGCACAACATCTAAAAACACATTCCTGCCCAACTTCACAATACAGGAAAATACTTGTTGACAAAAACCGATATATTACACCACGAAAATAATAATAAAAAAAAAACTTGAAGTTCATGAGGCCCGCTGTGTCAAAATCAACCAGCCAACACTCAACTAAATTTATTACTAATATAGCAGCAACATATTAAAATGCATATAACGTTTTTACCAATTTTCGGTCAGCTCCCTTATATTGAAATGCTTATTTTCCGAAATTGTCAGATGGATAAATTTTAAATATTAAAATAATTACAGAGCGCGTTCGCGAGTGTTTTAAAAATCACCATCACAACGGAATTGAGATTTTATTGCAGTTACAATAAGTTTGTCTTTGTAATTTACCCCTGAAGATAATCTTGGAAAACATCGAAAGTACTTGGGTTAACAGAAACTACGGCGCCTCAAGAAACTGATTAGAGAACACCGGAAAGGATCAGTATAAAAATAAGTAGACAAAATATGTATATATTATTCAATGAAACATGTTTGAACACTTGAATACACACACACACACACACACACACACACACACACATATATATATATATATATATATATATATATATATATATATATATTATCACTTCGTAAACGAAGATTTTCGAGGGTCCTTCATATCTCTTACAGGCTCTCGAATAGTTGGAGAGGCATATATAGGGGGGAAAAAAGAGCATCAACTGCAAGTGGGTCTGTTAGTCGGCGGAGGTACCGGGCTTTTGAAGCTTTTTTCTTTTCTTCCACGCTTCTTTCCACGGCTTCATTCTTCAAGGGAATTCCTTGTCACCCCGTCGGTTGCTTTTGCCTATAACAGATGACGGTTTAATCTAAAGACGAATATCCTTTTCAAAGTCTCTTATGCACCCCTTCAGTGAGGTTCCAACCAAAAGCTAGCTCCCCAACAGAGGAGGGCATACTATTCTGCACATCTCGCGTGATCATCCCATTAATAGAAATCATTTCATATTTTGTAATATAGCTATAGATTAACGGAACTATTTTTTGCATTGCGATCTACAATAAATATTACATTTTGGTTTATTTTTTAATTTTCCAATTTATTTCTAGGTTATGCAGATTTTGGCGAATTTTTAAGAGAGAAAAACTATGAGTTCTCTTCATATACCGAAGGTCTCGCAGACAAGCTTTGGCAGCAAATGAAGCCTTTATATTCTCAACTCCACGCGTACGTTCGTCGAAGACTTCAACAGTTCTACGGCCCAGCCGTCTTCGGCAATTGTTCTACAACGATTCCTGCTCATATATTGGGTAAGTATAATCAGACATGGAGTTAGATTATAAAATATAATCTATTTAATGCCTGTTGTTAATATATCAAAAATGTTTTTTACTTTTTATTTAATCCGTGTTCCGTGTTTTTTCTTCTGTGGTCCCATTGTTTGGCTAATTTCAACCCATATCAATAAAGATAATTCAAAATTCATCTTTTCTGCAATGAGTTGGTGTTAATTTTTCATTCTTTTTCGTTGCAAATGAATAAAATGGTACATTTTTATCTACTTTTATTCATTTAAATCAGATCCAATAAAAATGCAAGTTCTTTGTAGCAAGAACAGTAGATTGCTTAGCTGCTATTTTTGTAAAAACTCTTGTTCAAAAGAAGCTGTTATTGATAAAAATTTAAGAAAATCAATAAATTAAATTTTAATTTGGTTTGAATAGTTGCGAGTTGAAATTAGTTCCGAGTTGAAATTAATTCTGAACCCCTTTTAGATACAGGCACTATACGCAAAATGGACAAACATTCTTGGATTGACTAATGGCTATAAAATGTATGGAATATTTCATTTCCCTATTTAATGTTTTTTTTTGACTTCTGATTACGTAATGAGATAGCAAATACTGTCAGTGGATGAAAAACAAAGAACGAAAATAGAGATTTAGGCTAATTTATTCTACTATATATACAGCTATAAAAAAACTACATGACGTCATGTAATTAAGGAAAATGATTCTGCGGATGTCAGCTGCATATCCAACCAACTGTACCAACAAATATGATTTGTTGACTTGCAATCTCTTGAGATTTCAAGCTGAAGCTTGGAATTAGTTCGTAAAACAAATAATAATAATAATAATAAATACCTTGAAGGTACTCCCTCTCATGAACAGAGATGCTTCTGGTGGACATAGTGTAATGTAGGAGCGGACAAGGAAATCATGTCATCCTATGTCATCATTCAGGAAGTGTCTTCTCACAAAAATTGATTTTCCCAGACACGGGACTCAGGGTTGGACATTGGGAATCTGAGGACAACAATACAGGACCGAACAGTGCGGAAAGCGATTGTCAGTAGAGTTCCCACAAACCATAGAGGAGTTCCAGGGATGATGATGATAATGATGATGATGATGATGATGAATTTGCATGTTCAACCTATTAATGTCAGGCAAGGGATCAGCAAATTTGTGGTATTATATATTGTGGTATATATTTACAGTAGCCAATATTAATTCGCCAAAACAAAGCATGTTCATATTAAGTGAAGATCAGAAGTCATGAGAGCTATATCTGGTGTAGACTTAGGCGTTTATTATTATCACTATTATTATTATTATTAGTAGTAGTAGTAGTAGTAAGAGTACTACCAGTAGTAGTAATAGTAGTAGTACTTCCTGTTTTTTCTTCGCTTGTTCATGTGGAAACAAAAAGATCCTTATACTTAACATCAGAAAGTTACAGTTGAAATTTCTAAGGCACATAATGAGGAAAGAGAGCTTGGAAAACTTGACAAGACAGATTTTCACGGTTTAAATTCACCTTTATCTTTCCCTGAGAGAAGACGGCCCAGTTTGTCCTGTTTCTTCTTCTTCTTCTTTTTACCTTGGCTCTTCCTGAGCGAATATGGCTCTTCACAAGTTCCTATTCATTGTAGTTAAGCGCTGTCTTTTCCTTATCTCTCCTATACCCTGCCAAGCATGTCCTGTGAGTGTCAAATGTTATAAGCTCTCCTTCCTCATTATGTGCCCTAAAAATTTAATCTGTTTCTTATGACGTCTATGATGCTAAGTATAAGTATCCTTTTCGTTTCTGTTTTCCTAAAAACTTCCTCATTACTCAGATGTACAGTCCCTGTTATTCCCAGCGGCTTTCTGTAGAATCATATTTCTGTTGTCTCTAGTCTCTTCTTCCTACTGCCATATAGAAGAACAGATATTACATCACAGTACTCTTTTCTCTCTGCTTTTTACCCTTGGTGGAGAAGAGAGAGAGAGAGTCATATCTTTCCTATGCACGTTAGTGCTAAAATGAAGGCAAACCGATTATGTATTTTGCACCAAGAGCCTTTACGCTACCTGCATATCTCCTTCCTACTGTTACTAAAAAAATATTGGTACTATTACTACTGTTATTACAAGATATTAAACCAGTAGTCTGGTGTGTGTAATCGAAGAAAAAGATGCTGCTGCGTGATAGTATATTTTACTTTGCCGTTTAGTCACCATGGTCAAATCAATAAAGGGGATAGCTATGTCTGACAGGAAGCTAGGGTGTAAAATCCGAGCTCAAATTTCATCGAAGAGTATTATTTAATTCATGTTCATTCCTTAAAATAGATGCAGAAATTGACGACCTGAATATCTTTCTAAAAAATCAACAAGATTTCTTAAATCAATTCATTCCAAGTAAAGCGATAATGTCACTGAGATGCAAAGGGGTTTACTGGGAGTGAAAGAGAATTAAAAAGGCTTCAGAAGGAAACGGAAACTAAATCCTAAACAGGAAATAAGGGATAGACATGTACTCCTGTTCAAAATCCTGGGAGGAGAGTGAGCCGAATGATAGGCGAGCATATCTACTCCTAATGTGGAGAAATAAATAAATAGTAAATAAAATTCCAGTGTTCAGGCAGAGATGTTAGAAGTATAGAGATGAAATAGACTTTCGAAAGGAACTGAATCCTAAACAGGAAACAAAGAATACACAACTATTCTTATTAAAAAACTGGGGAGGTGTTTGAACCGGACATAGACGAACCTATATACTCCTTTAGAGGAAAGAAAATAAATAAGTAAACCTGTATTAAATAAAATTTCGAAGTTTAGACGGAAACGTTAGAAGTACAGAAGTACCTCTATTTCTGTTCAAAAGGCCGATGAAAAGATGAAAGGAGAAAAAGAACTTCAAAAATTTATTGCAAACAGTTTTCATTCCTCTTTACCTCTCTAATGCTTGCCTCTACCTTTTTAATAATGAAATAACAATTCTTCACTTGTTGTCGACTTTGGCACTAGTTTTCGAGCCAGGTCAGAGCACCAGCAGAACTAGCTGATCAAATTATGATCGGCAGTAGCATTCCGAACAGGAAACGTGATCAATTGGTTAAAGAGATTTTCTTTAATTACTGCAAAACTCAGCCTAGCCGGGTGGGATTTGATTAGATACGCCTCAGCCCGACCTATCGAATTTAGCCGATTTAAATGAGTGTACATTTAAATGTTATTTTGGTTCCTTTTCGAAGTCTACTGTTACTCGGTCTGCCTTGGTTTCTTTTGATGAATGATGATCGCGCAGTGTAGAAAAAATATAACTAGATTAGGCGAAGTTGTTCAAAAAGTTAAGCTGTCGAAATAGTCTAAACTGTCAAGTAAGCTAATGGTTTAAGTAAATGATGGTTGGTTAATTATCATTTCGTAAGTTATATGCACGACAATGCAAGAGCCTACCACAGACAGAGAGAACGAGCAAGGATTCTTAATACCGTTTATTACGTTTATTACCATTGGGGATTTTGACGTGGTTCACAAGAATGTCTAGTTAGATCAATTACGATTGCGGTTACTATATTGCTGAGCACTTCGACGGGGTGTAATGGTTAACAAACACGTCTTCGAAATTCACTGGGTGCTCCAAGCATTCGCCGTTGTTCTGCATCTAAGCTACGGTTACTATATCGCTGATCACCTCAACGTGGTGTAATGGTTAACAAGCATATCTTCTAGATGAATTCCGACTGAGTAGTAAGTTCGAAATTTACTGGGTGCTCCAAGCTGTCGGCCTTGTGCCGCATCTAAGCTGCGGTTACTATATAGCTAAGAACCTCAGCTTGGTGTAATGGTTAACAAGCATGTCTTGCTAGATGATTTACAACTGAGCAGTAAGTTCGAAATTCATTGGGTGCTCCAAGCTTTCGGCCTTGTGCCGCATCTAAGCTACGGTTACTATATCGCTGAATGGTTTAATGGTTAACAAGAGTGTCTGGATAGATCAATTACGACTGAGTAGTGAGTTCGATGCTCATTGGCTGCTCCACACTTTCGGGCTTATGCCACACGAAAGCTGCGCTTAGTAATTCGATATATTCGGATGTTTTAGACACTTGTCTATGGTGTAATGGTTAGCGAACGCTTCTCTTTTTTTCCAAAATCAGTTACCACAGAATAGCTATTTCGATCCTTATTGGTTACTCCCATCTTTCGGTCTCGTGCCACGTCTAAGCTACGCTTTGCAATTTTGCATAACAGCTAAGCGTAATTACAATTTTCCTGTTTCTTTTGGAAATTAAAGAAAAATTATTTATAAACAAAAGGTAAATTTTGTCGTCATAAATAACTTCGCTCCCTATAATTATTATATCTTCTCCTTATAATAATCATTATATTATCTTTTTCATATAATTCTTATATAGTTTCCACTTCTTATTATAACTGTTCGTTATTTCTCCTCTAATTATATCTCCCCCATCCTGCACTTATTTTATCACCATTTTATACTTATTCTATCATCTAGCTGTAATTATATCTTCTCTTTCCTATAATTATACCTACTTCTTCTTATATTATTATCTCTGTAGAT